TCCATTTGGGACTTGCCAGTCACTTATGAAGGGTCAGAATCCATTAGCTATGTAAGATCTTAACTGCAGTTTCTGCTAAGAACTTTTCAATATAGGCCCGGAGTCTAGAGCTTGGCTTGGGCTATGGGGGCTGGCTAATAGAGAACAATACATAGCTCAGAAGAACAATACATAGCTCAGAGGAAGCTGGTGTAAACAGATAACCTTGTGTGTTTCAAGTCAGTGAGTGGAGTCAGCATAACTCCGAATGTAATTGGGCGTCCTTATCGTGAGTTATAGACACATGAAGCGCTGAGAAAGGCCTCACGGTTACTCCCTAATGCAGGGAGGAGATAGTGGTACAATACCCCTCAGATCCTAGACAAAGTTTGGGGAGAGGCCTAATATAATTGACATGAATTATGACACCTTCCCCTCACAGATGTATGCCAGTCCTAGCTCACAGAAATGCAAGGGTAAACTTGTGAAATTGTTAAGTACTAATTACTGCTTTTTCGCTTTAAATCTCTAGGAATGTACCTGTTGGTCAACCGAGAGAGCTTCTACCTCATTCCCCTGGACCTCAAAATTAGGATTTAACCTATACACTTTAATAGACATAGTTTGGGGGTAATTACCTGTGTGTCAGCAATATGTTAATTTGGGCCATGGGCAGAACCATTATGTAATCTTTTAGACCATTGGCTTATTGTGCTTATCTTGTCTTGCTGTTAGAACCTATCCAGGGGTTTGGGAAAACCCATCCCTGTCGCGTCTCTCCGCCCAATGAGCACCATAATCTATTGTAACTAATTGTTTTGCAGTGTCTCTGAGCCTAATAAGCAAAGTGACACTCCGCCAGCGCTGTGCGTAATAAACTCCTGTGCTTGACTCTACACAGTGTGGATTATTGTTCCTTCACTTACATATAAGTAGACATGAATTCCCTGTTTCCTTAGATGAGTCCTACCATGGACAGACACTTAGTGCACACTTTCAGTGCTGGAGAGAGTGTGAAACGCATAGTCCTGTATTGGTAATGGTTGGTCCCCACTGTGCATCTGAGGTACTTCCTGTGAGCCAGATGGATGACCATGTGGAAGTATGCAACCTGAAAGTCAAGAAATGTGAACTAATCTTGAGGTTGGAGTGATGGAAATGATGGAGACAAGTGTTACTATCCTGAACCTGAGACAGCATATATATTTGCTGAGTCCCTCAGGTCTAGGATAGGACAAGGATGTCTTTTTTCTTCGGAATAAGAAAATACTAACAGTACTTCCCCTGTATGCTTGAGGAATCTTCTCTGGAGCTCCAAGCTAAAGCAAAGAAGCCACTTCTGTTTTCAATAAGCTCTTGTGAGTCAAGTCCATGAAGAGGGACAGGGAAGGCAGGATGGGTATGGAATCAAACTATATGGGGTAGCCATGGGCTATAATCTCCAGTACCCATCTGTCTGATGTTAACAGAACCATACCTTGTGGGATGGGGCAAGGTGGCTTTCAGAGGTTGTGTTCTGTAGACTGGTTCCTATGCGCCTCCCAACTGTCTCATCAAATTTGCTCATGAATCATCATGGTAGAGTCTGGGATGGAGGTCAAGGAGGCTTGATGCCCCTCCCTTGTTGTATCTTGGACATTCCCAGCATGTACTCCATCTATCTGTGGTAAGATGGGGTATGCAGCCTCTGCTGGTGCAATGGTTGAGGGAGGTACACCTTCCAATAGGGTGTGTAGATTCCCAGAGAGGACAGGGTTGCTATGAAATGGGGATGGTGATGGTGATGGTGATGGTGATGAGGAGTGTACCTCTTCCATACACAGCGCTAACCGGTAAAACAGTATCAGCAACAGACTCTGTCGGTGACAGTGCATAGCTCAGTGCCAAGTGCAGCTCCAGTGTGCCGTGTGTCTCTGCGGTTGGTATCAGAGTTGACATCTATGGGGCATTGCTGGTGATGGGCCCGGTACCAGTGGAGAATGTTGCACTGCAGTCTGCTCCTTTCCACCTGTCTTTGAAGCCATTTGTGACTTGGCTAGCTTGTCTCTTGACATCTTCTCTGTCCCGCTTTATGGGAGGACCTAGAGCTCCTTCTCAAGTTTCTTCAATTCTATTTTGGCTGGCCCCTTTTGGCACACTGTATTGACATTTGAGGTGTCAAATTTGAAGCTGGGGCTGTTAATGGCATCAGCACTGGTGCTGATTATGCCAATGCTGGAGCTGGGCATGGATTTGGTGCAGCTTTCTCTGCAGAGGTCTTCATGGTTGTCTGCATTTTAGATGGAACACTGGAAGATATGAGTCTGACTGTTAAGAGGGGTCTTTGAACTTGGCTTTTCTGGATCTCTCATAGATTGCTCCAGAAGACAGAGCTTCAGCTTCACATCCCTCCACTTCTGGGTTCTTGCAGAAAAGGAGAGGCAGAGTGAGCACCTGCTTGGGAAGCAAGACTCTCCCAAGCAGAACAGCCATCTTCTGTGCCTTTTAGTGGAATTAGCCTGTTACAGGATAGACAAGGCTTGAAGTGGGTTTTGAGTCCACCATTTTTTGAGTCCTGTGCAGGGTGTGTGTGTTATGGGGGAGGGTTGTGTAGGTAGAGGGGCAGTCTGCAAGCAGTTTTTGCATCAGCAAGTGCTAAAGCAGCCTACGGTAATAAAAATAAAAGAATGAAGGTGATTCTGAAGAATCTCAGAAGTTTTTGAGAAATTTAGCCAGGGCTAAAGTCTAGTGGGTCAGAGACCAGCTAGATTCCATCTTGCTGTCATGGGTGGTAAGAGGAAAGTGAGGGAGGGTTGCAGCTGCCTGCCTTCATACCGGGGCATGAGGCAGCACAGAGTACATACACCCCAACAGACACTGCTATTCAAAAAAATCTGATATTATGTGCTTGGGGCACATACATACCTACAGTGGGATCAATACTGACACATACACAAAGAATTAAAGATTCCATGGCATTTTTTACAGTAGGCCAGTTAACACTGAGATCCTGGCTAAATTCCAGTTCTGGTGATTCTTTTTATTTTTCCTGCAGTTTTAACTAGTTACCAGATCAGGCCTTTCCAGTTCTAAACTGTTAGCTAGTGGACTCTGGTGCATGCAACAGAATTTCAGTGGTGAAATAATTATTGTACGCAGTAGTTCATGAAGTATTCAGGGCTTTTTCACTCTGAAAGGGCCCGTTTTTAAATATATTGGCTCAGAGGACTAAAGTGAAGGGATGGGAACAGGACAAAGATAATTTTACGCCAATTTACAACTTCCGAGATCCCAGTGTAAGAGCACTCTCATAACTGCTTTAAGTTGTATGTTCCTAATGGACCATTTTGGCAGCTGCCAATAACAGTGATACCCCAGTTATGCCTTTTTTCAAAGAACATCCCTATCCCAAGGGGCAGAGGGTGGGAAGAGTGTGTATGCACTTATGCTAATGTTTTGAACAGGTCCCCTGACTCATTCAGTGCACAAGATGTGTGGCCCCATAATATTTACTGCACACTCTTCAAACTGTATCACTATAGCATATGAGTGTTTCACAACATGCCTGTGAGGTGAAGGGGTTGTATTATCCCCCTTTTACACAAGAGGAACTGAGGCACTAATTTTGGGTCCCCAAATAAAGATGCTGAGGGCCTGATTTTTTCAGATTACTGAGCATTATATAGCATTTTATATGTTCAGAGCACTGGTCCCACTGACTTTAATTATAGCTATGAGTGCGCTCAGCACTTCTGCAAATCAGACCCCAGGGTTTCAAGCTGGGCACTCACAAAATGAGGAGCAGATAATTCGTGACCACCTGTTAAAAGTTTAAGTGATTTGCCTAGCTTTACACAGGAAGTCTGTGGCTGAGGCAAGGACAGAATCCAATTCACACAGGAAGCATTCAGTTGCCTTTATCATAGGACTAAGCTTTCTTTTCCAGCAATCCCCACCTCATTCACTACACAACTTCTAACTTGTGCAACAAAGGAAGCAGGGGTCCTACAGAGAACAGTCTCATTCACTACACAACTCTGATTCACCCTAGAGCATGGTACAGTCTGTATACTTAATGAGGCTGGGTTCCTGTGGAAAAAATAGTATGTGATAATGTAATTAAAGACTATCATAATGCATATGCACAAGGTAGGGTGACCATATTTCCTAAAGGGAAAACGGGATACCGTGTTGGGATAGCCCAAGTCCTCCCTCCCCGTCCTCCCCCAGGGGTTGGCCAACCCGCTTGCCTGAGCCCTGCCCCCCCCTCCCTGCATGGGGCTGGCATCGCTGCTCACCCAAGTCCTGCCTGCCCCTCTACGCAGGGCTGACATTGCTGCTCCCCCCCATGTTCTTCCACACCCCACTTTGATCAAGTTGGCAAAAAAAATAGGACAAATGCCCACTTTTGTCAAAAAAGTCAGGACAGCCGGGACAGGGCTTAAAAAAGGGACTGTCCTGACCTGGTATGGTCACCCCAGTACAAGAGGACTGAATTAAGATAGCACACATAACTTTAATACTGGCATTTCCTAACTTCTGAGTGCTGGTGAAGGTTGAAGTCATTCTTTTGACCTAGTTTTTTGTGTAATTTCCTAGGTTGTTGGTTTTTTTTTTAAAGCAAACTGAAAAAAAATATATATGTGGCATATTGACACCCCATATGGTTCTTCAGCAGGGCTGAAGCCTTTAGATCCACTTCATGTACCTCTGCCACTTGAGCTGATTAACTGACACAAGCAGTAATTTGTCATCCTCTATGAGGACCAGCCTAAGCAGAGGATGACACACGTACTCTGCCAGTATGTTTCAGAGATATTTCCTGGCAACAGAGGAATGGTGAGAGTCAAAAATCTTGGGTTCCATTCCGGATTCTGGAGGGCAGTGTGCATGACTGAGTAAAGCACGCAGGAGTTAGTCATAGTTGGGCAGATACCAGGTGTGTTCCACTTTTGTTTGTAATTTGATTACCCAGTTTGATTGGTACATCTAGTTACTAGTGAAAAGAAATATTCAACTACACCACAAAGCAAATCAGGATTTATAACAGAAACATCAATTCCACATTAATGTACATAAAAACTAAGAAAAAGTTTGGCTTCCACTATAATTGCAGCACAGTTATGAAAATTTGTCTCCTGTAGTTAAGATGTTAAACTTGTATTTTATAATCATGTTTGAACAAGCATAGCCATGAAGACATAATACAGTATAACAATACAAAGCAAACAAAACAAAACCCAACCAAACAATCCTCCTCCAAAAAATAAATAATAAGCAGAGTATAAAAAAGAATAAACAAGTATAAAATTAAGGGATTCATTAAAATAGGAAGAGTTTGGAAAATATATGGAAAAAACATTCGTAAAGGCCTTAATGGATGTTGAAAACTAGTAATAATTAAAAAAAAAAGGGACAAAAACAGAATAACATTTTAACATTATCTTGTCAGTCCACTAATAAAGGTTTCCGAGTTTCCCTTTCTCTTGTAGTTACTTTCTACAGATGTAGAAAATATATTTCCCAATAGCTTATTCTCATTATTAGATTTTTGCTGTTGATTTTGCACCGTTATTTTTATGGGTCAGAAATTAGTTTTAAAATAATTGCTAATATTGCCAATCTTACACAAGAGGTCTTCCTTCTAAAACATCTAAAATATCAGTTAAACTATACTCAAGGCATCTAAGAAATTCTTGTAGTTCTCTATTTAAATAGCCAGTTGTGTTACATCCTACCCATGTATCAAATACATTATATCCAATTCCAAAACCATCTGGCACCACTGGCCCAAATCCACCAAGATGAACTGCAGGACTGTGTAATGTACTAGTTGAAAGGATAATATGGTTTAGTTTTTGGTAGGCTGAGTCAAGAAAAAGTTCAGGCATAGGATCACCTCTGGACACTGAAAGATGTTTTAATGCAAACAAATGGCGATCAAATCCTTTACCTAAATAAAACAAAAAAGTGCAAACTGTGTTAAGAATACAGAAAATATGCAGGTTATTTATTAAAGTGCAATATTACAAAACTTTCCTGTAGCTAAGAATAATGTTGGTATGCTCCAACATTTTAATCAATTAGATATTTACTGTTCATCCTGTAGCTATAATAATAAAAGAGGCATTGTCTTACATTAAAAATTGACAATCTTATATTTTCTGCTTGTATGTAGGCATCTAAGTAGGAAATTAAGAGCCTAACTTTAGCAACCCATTTTTGAAAATTTTGGCACTTCATAGGACTCATAATGTAAGCATAAATTTCTCTTAATAATTAAGCAATTCCCTTATTACCTCACCTTCCCTTCCACCCCCAAAAATGAAACTGCTTCTTTAATACGACTCTTTCCCAAAACCAACAGATTAAAACAAACTGTGGAATTTCCAGGCCAGCCTTTTATGCATTTAATTTGGTACTCTTCTGGCACTCACAGTGGGAGTCAGTAGGGAGAACAGGGAGAATAAAGGCTATACTCCGTGTGCACACTATTTCAGAATAAAAGTTACATTATACTGGATCATTTACTCCACTTTGAAAGCACAGTAGGATAATTATTCTGGAATAAAATAATTTAAAATAATTTTATTCTGCAACAGCTATTCCAGTCAATTTCCCAGCGCAGACAAGACCTAAGAAAAGGGAAGGAAGAACAGAAACAGAAGTGAGGCTCCTACTGAGAGTGATTAGGTAAAGGACATCAGGTAAACTTACTCCACTTAAAATCCTAAAATCAAAATAAAGAATTCTAAGGATTAAGCGCTGCTCCAATTGCCAATTTTGTCACATCACCACTAGTATTCAATTAATTACTATTTAAAGATTTAAGATACTCTGGAGTGTGAAAGGCATTATATATAAACACATAATTCTATTCTTTTACTTGAAACCTAAGTAAATATTCAGAAGCTCCCCATATTGCCTTCTCTTGGTTACTGGGACATTGTACATGCTCAAAGGCTGTATTTACTTCATACTTAAAGTGAACAAAATGATGTGCAACATACATCCAGCTGTATTACTCATTATACAGAGCTATGATGCTTTACAAACATATACATGTGAAAGGTCCATGCCCCAGTCAGCTTGCAACTTAAATAAGAGTAAACATGTACTGATTTACGCAATATACTTTTCATATCCAAATAGAGATGAATCAGCTCAATGCACCTCAGCTTTTATTACACCAATATTTTGTTTCCACTTAACTTTTTTATGATCAAAATTCCTTTTTCCAGCTTTGTTCCTCCTTCCCTTCTATTATGTACTTCCCCAAGCCCTCCCCTTCTCTTATTTTTGCCTTTCCCTTGTTACTCCACTTCACTGTATTGTATATGAGCATAATAGAACTGATTATAATTCTAATCTCTGAGTGGATGGAATACAAAACAGGAATTCTTAAAGGTGGCCTACAAGGCAGATATGGGGAAAAAATTGGGGTGATACCAGTTCTTGACTTCATTATGAAGTATACAGAAGGCCTGAAAAGATGGCGGGGCGGGGGGAAGATTCAAAAAAGCATGAGCAGGGGTTGGGAGGGGGAGTCAGATTGTATTTTTTACTTTACAAATTCAGGTATAAGGTATTATCTAACCCTGGAAGATTTGGTGGCAACTAAATTGTCATAAGAGAAAAGGGACTGAACTATGGGTATCCGAAGAGACTTTTAGTCAATCTTTAAAACTCTTTGTTTTTGTTAACACTTATTTAAATTCAATGCCTAATAAGTGGTTTTGACAAAAGAAGTGCTTCTGTTAATGATTCAACAACTCTAATTGCTTCAATTAAGATGCAAGATCTAAAAATATATGTCATCCAGGACCCTCAATAAGTTCTCCAGCAAATCAGAGTTGACACTGCTGATATTTCTAAGCTAAAAAAACAAGCAAAATCCATGTTTAAACAATGCCATGGTTTCAGACAATCTTTATAAATAAATGATAAGGAAGTGAAAAGGGCAGAAGGTCATTTTAAAAAAATCCTTTGCGGGTTTAAAATGGATATATAACAACAGGAATTGGGATCTTAACATACCTTTCTAAAAACGACTTCAGGTACCACAACACCTAGAAAAAATATTACTAAAATTTGAAAGACCACATTGGCATGGAACTAACCTAATGCAGCTTCCAGTTGCAACCGTCTATGATATTTTGAACATTCATCAATCATATTTCTCAGTTCTGCTACACTGTGTTTGCTTCGTTCTTCAACAAATGCACGTGAACATTGTTTTGTTAGTATAGATGTGGGTCGAATAGTTTCCGTGCGGCCATGTTTAAAAGCAGCAGTGCTACATGCTTCGTAAGAAGAAATAATTTTTCCAAACTGTCGATAAGCAGTCATCTGACATGCAAGTTGAAAAACAGCATCTGGACTCAGCTTTTGTTTCACTAAAAATTCTTTTCCAAACTTTCTGAATTCAAACATTCTCACAGATATTTTCTCATTTGTTTCTTCAAATTTCATACGTGCAGCGTTTATAGCAGATTGGATTGAATCATTCAATTTAAACTCCAGTCTCTCACACTTGGTAGCACTTAACGCAGCAGGACTAGAATGTGGTACAATAGCTGGGTGCCTTGTACTGTTTCTATATACTTCATTAACAAAACGAAGTACTGCAACTCCATCTCCCCAAGAATGCTCAAAATTTACCCCTGCAGTGCCATCACTAGTGATAATCAGACTAAAGGATTTGTCAAACCAACGATTAAAACCACGTCCATGAAGCATACAATGTGACAGCTCAGTATCATTCTTTAGGGAAATATTGTCTAAGCATAGGCAAAAAACTGCACTATCAATTTTTTGTAAGTTGTCTTCATTGCCTGCTTCGAGAAGCTGTTGTCTTACTGCTGCCCAAGTATTCCTGTCTTCTGTGGTGAGATAACAAAGGGAAAACTCAGGCAAGCGATCTGCATCTTGCAAAATATAAATTAACTGAGCCTGGATTTCAGATGGATGCAGAATATTACCACCAGGATCCAAAACATCAAAAACATAAAAATGTCCATTTCTCATCACCAACAAATGTCTTCCCCATTCATTAGTAAACAGTTCATCTTTGTTTAATTTAGGAATTCTGGAACTGTTGAAGAGACGCTTATATTGTGACATATCTAAGGGATATGCGTTTACCATATAAGCTCCATACCAAGACACAGAGGTTGGAAGAAGGCTGATAAACTTTTTGAAGAGCCTACTCTGGCTCCATTTTGGATTGACATAATAGATATCTGGCCGTAAAAATTCATTATTTAGAGAGTTAAGAAATTTTATTGATGATACTACCAGATTTGTTGCCCTCACTACCTGGCTGTTGTATGCTTCTTTTGGATCAGGATTTAAAGAAATAAAAGGGTTGAAGTTTAAAACAACAGGGTCTCTGGCACAGAGATACATATCAAACCAGGGATCTACAAAAAAAAAACACACAAAAAAACAATTGAAAATTAAGTTAATAAAATCTATTTTACCATTTTGATGTACAAACATAGTTTTATAGACACCATTTGTATACAGCATCTCATTATTTTAATGAATTTGTTTCAAATGAGTACAGACATTTATGAACATAATCTAAAAAGAGTATAAAGCACTCAAACTATAGATACATACTGAGTTTTTGAAAAGATAACCAATTTATCTTTTCTATTTTCAATTTCCACTTCAGATCCGAAAAGGACACGCTTTCATTGCAGTGCATACGGATTAAGGGGTAAATTCATACACTGGGTAGTTCCACTGAAGTCAACAGCATTAAACCCAGATTTAATTTGGCCTGAGGCATAAAATTTGCAATCACTTGGCTCTTCAATACCAAAGTAACAGGTGTCTAAGAAATATCTATGATAGATAATCACAAGCTGTACATCTCATTTCCCACACAAACTATACTGAATAGCAGTTTTGAAAGTAGACTAGGAGTAAGGACCCAAATATTTTGTTCCCCTCCCAGCAATACCACTGATTTGTTTTTTTGACATAGGGCATGTTAGCTATATAAGCACAAAACACTGCAAAAAAAAGAAAAAAGAAATATAAACATTTGGTTTTGCTTTTCACTGCTTCTTTATAATGTCTGAAAATTGTTTTTCAATTCCCACCCTGTCCACTCCTCAAAATAACTATTTCATTCTGCTTGCTTTTTATATTTGAAATTTCATATCCTTACTTCCCACTCTTTGTTGGAAGATCCTGGCTATACCTTCAGAGGACCCGAATAGTGATGTCACACAAGACTTTAACCCAAATTGCATTTCTCCCTACCACCATTTGAGAAGTCGAAATGGATGATAAAGTTTAGGACTCTCTGCCAAAGAGAAGGGAGTGAAGACATAATATCCCTGACATTTCAAAAGTAAACAACAAGCAAAAATATCCCAAACAAACCTATTATTTGGGAAAAAGTCTGAAGTAGTCTTTACACATTATAAAGAGGCAGTAAAGAATAAAAACAAAATAGTATATTTATGCTTTACAGTTTACCTCTATGTAATATTCAATATTTTACTCCTAAATGTTCATATGGCAGAGCATCTTAATGACTTGGAGCCTTATCTAGGTCTCCCTTTGCATCCCCTCTGAGTAACTAATTTAGGGAAAAGGGTCAGAAACCAGTTGTCTGATTAAAAGGAACTGAGAGAGTGATTCTGGGGGGACTTCTTGTTGTCCCTTTTCCCAGGATCTGGGAGAGCAAATGCCTACCATCAGGACATGAAGGCAAGAGCTAGGAAATACCAAATTCAAACTAAAATGTTTTAAATTAACAAGACAAGTTGAGGTTTTGCTACTAAGGCCAAATCAAAACCGAGTCAGAAGGAATAGTCCGTAAGACTCAGACTTGACATTAGTTGATTTCAATGAAAATGCACAGCAATTGCCATACAGATCCAGCAGAAAAAGTAATCCAAGTACTTTAATAGTAAGTTTCAAAAGAGGTTAATGATTCCAATAGACAACTGAATGTTAGAACTTATAAAATAATGATAAAATAGAAAACAAACCTGATATATAACTTGTATGCTTATTCTTTTTATCGAATTCAACAAGATCTCGGTGTAACTTCCTGCCCACTCCTTTTTCAAACTCCCTGGCAATTCTTTCAGTATTTCTATAGTATTGAAAACAATATTATTATTATAATATAGGTTTTTTTTAAGAGTAACTTTTAATTATAGTATTTCATTAAAATGCTATTCCCTTTTGTGTAGTAACAAAGTTTAGTACAACTTTATGGTGTAGCTCATTATGTAATGAGATTGTAAACTCTTTAGGACAGGAACTGTCTTTTTGTATGGGTTTGAACTGTACCTAGCAATGTGGCCCAGATTCTTGTTTGGGGCCCTGAGGTGCTGCCACAGTACAAGTAATTATTGCTCTATTTCAATGCCAACACAGAAATTACACTGGGGATTAACACTGTCCCTTTTTAAAGTACAGATTAGGGCACCTAATTCCACCGGTCCATGAACCACATCTTCTTCAATTGGTTGATCCAATTAGGTAACCATACTCCCAATCCTGTAACTAATTCCATATAAACAGACCACTAGGTTCCCACAGAGCTCTACTCAAGTCAATGGGGCTGCGTGTGTGTGCAAGGATTCACACAGAAAAATGAGAACTGTTCCTCTGTCCACTAATGACTTGACAAAGTACCTAGTACTTGCTGGAGAAATTTTGAGTATTTTGACTTTTGGTTAAGTTGTATTTTGGAAAGGAGCTTCTGCTAATGTATTTTATAGTTGAATTAGGATATAAAAAATAAAAAGTTGCTGCCTTATAATATAAGTAAGCTCTTGCTTCTTCCTGAACTAAATCAAGTAATAGGAAGAGTTACCTAATTTTCTATTCAGGATTCTGGCATATTTTGTGTTCTCGGCTTTGTTTGTGGAATGAATTGATTCAAGAAAGTCATCAGAAAACGCTAATCCTGCAAGCTGTTCTTGACTTCAACCTCTACCTGCACTGCACAACTTGCAGGATGAGGGCCTACCTTTGTTCAAAAGCAGAAGAGTAGATAGGAGGTACAGTAGGATGGGTCTTATTATCCCAAGGGCACACATTTCATCAGTAATAAAGAGATGTCTCTACCTACTTGATTCACAAGAGATGTGGTCCTTGCATGACCTACTTGTAGAATAATTTCTATAAAGCAAGGGAACATGGGAAAACTCTTGCTGAGCTTGACCCTCCTGTAGGTTAAAAATAGATTAAGAACTCTTTCTTCAAGATATGTAGGGTTCCAAACTAAGGCTCTAATCCTACAGACATTTAAGAATGCAAGTTCCAATTGTCAAGCCAAACTTTATCCTCAGTTGCACTTGTGACACTTCAAAGGACTGATGGCAAAACAGATAGATGGAACTTTATTAATGGTCATGAGCCAGAAAAAAAAACAGCTCGCTTTAAGATTTAGTAAGAATCTTTAGGGCTGGCATTTAAAAATATCTTTTTACTTGAAAAGTGAGTCACTGAGAGCCAATAAATATGGAACCACAAAATGCCCCCCCTCCTTTTTTAAACAAAGTGACTCTTCAATATAGAAGCAGACTTCAAAGAAAAAAAGGCAGCAAACATGTTAATGAAATATTGTGAAAATAACAGTAATGCTGTGCTTGGAACTTGTATGCCAAGTTTTAAGATGAGTGTGAATTCTAATAGCCCATTTACAATCCGGTCTTCATTGAAATGCTTCCTACTCCGTGTCATTTTTCGTACCTGTACTGATCATCATCCAGTAGAGGTTTCTGAGCAGCCAAATATCTCTTCACAGTATCCTCCAATTTTGGAACAGGTAATCTAGAAGTGCAGAATTTTAACACAAAACGATTAAATAAGTTAAAAATATATTTATTACTAATATGGGGAGAGCAATGATAACATTAAAATCCATGAAAAAAATGTATGGTGATGCACCCATGAAAGATGCTATGTGACTAATCAAAGTCTCTTGAACGGGAGGTGAATGTTGTACTGACAGCAAACCTGGGGGAATTGGGGAAGTAGAGGAAGTCGGGAAAAGAGAAGTAAAAGAGTGGAGACAGAAACTGAAAGAAGAGTGGAGACATAAGTTAAGGCATAGATTCCCGCATCCAAGAGCCAGATTTATGTATTATATACATAATTTTTTTAAATGATAAGGTTATAATCCCAAATAATTCTGTAACTACAGGAAATATTTGAGATTTGTGCTGAGATCACCAATTATTAATTTAGTATGTTTTTCTTCTGTTTGTACTGCACCTCACATGATGGGTGTCCTAGTCCATGACTAGGGCTCCTAGATTCTACAGTAATACAAACAATAATAAAATTGTAACTGCAGCCCTGAACAAATGCATTTTTATAAAAAAGCAAGAATTACATTTTAAACCAAAAGTCTCTATTTGTTCCTGAAGAGAACATCTCATCTTATGAACTGTTACCCAGTACTAATTTCATTTTGTTAACTACTACATAGTTTACTCATCTGGGTACAATCTCCAATATCTATACACCTCTACCTCGATATAACGCTGTCCTCGGGAGCCAAAAAATCTTACTGTGTTATAGGTGAAACCGCATTATATCGAACTTGCTTTGATCCACCGGAGTGCACAGCCCGACCCCCCCCCGGAGCACTGCTTTAACGCATTATATCCGAATTCGTGTTATATCGGGTCGTGTTATATCAGGGTAGAGGTGTACTATATTTTTACTTCATTTCATGACTCATGCTTCTGTACAGGCAATTACATTTTACAATAATGAGACCTTGAAACTTTGTACACTATTGAGCAAGTCCTATTGTGGTTTGTGGGGAGGCCACAGAGATGGTTTCTACAAATACCATATTCAATGGAGCTCTGTGGCATTTCACTCTGCAGATGTTGTGTGTTAGGTCAGTGTGACCAAAGAATGTAACCAGAAGATCATAACAGGTCAAGGATGCTGCTATTGCCTGCAGGACCAGATTAAAGTAGTCCAGGACTCTAGCCATACCCCTGCATGGGGCTTCCCCTTGACCCAGCCCCAGCACTGTGGCAATGTCACCTGCACCATGGCCTTATTCCTCATTGTGGGGGAAGGAGGGTAGTGGAAGGGGTCACATGAGACTGGTAGGTGGACTGGTGGGTGGCCCATCATTCCAATTGGGCAGGCTGGGACTCCCACTTCCCTGGATCATAACATTCTCCCTTCTGGGAGGCTGGGGTTTGTCCTGGAGGACGCTGGCTGTGCCTATAACCAATCCAAAGTCCCCTTCTGTCCAAAGTCCCCTTCTGACAGCACCTAGCAGAGTCACGATGAGGTGGTATCAGTAAAGGCCTCCACACACTGATTCTTTTGTTGGGATAGTGTTGGCAGGACCCTCCCCCCGCCAGCCCCCAAAGCAGCATGTTTCACAGTTAGCTCCCCATTTAGGTGAATGGGGCAGTTCTTCCATCTCACAGTTAGGCTCTCTTAAAAGCAAGAGAGAATGCATTAAATAGGCATCTATCAAGTAGCTACACAGAGTTTGTGTTTTCAAGATTTTCTTCACAATTATGAGGGCTAAAAACATTTTTTGTTTTATTAAAGTTGATATTCTAATACCATCACATAAAACAAAGAGCCAAAGCCCTAGGCATGGCCATACTGTGTGTATGCCTTAAGCTTAAGCTGGCCCTACTTGCTTGCAGGCTACAGGAGTGGCCAGCATGGTTGTAGTAGTGTTCCTGGTTTTTTTATTCTTTTTGGTTACTAATCATTAAAACATGGTGAACACAACTACCTACAAAGCAGGCACGCAACTTGTACTACTTAAGGAACTGTTTCTTTGCTAACATTTAAAAAATTGAAAATAATCACTCTTAAACATGCACAGTAGGCATCTAAGCTTTCATCAATGCCTAATAAAACTCTACCTCCTGTGTAGCATCACACAGGAACAAGGAGACCTATACTTTCTGACCTGACTAAGGCATTATTAGCGGGGCAGGAGGGTAAAGGGGAACAAGCAAGTACTGGTCCCATAATGTTAGTCTCTCTTGATAGTTTTGATTACATTCCACACTAGTCAGCAAATTCTATTTTTTAAGACAAGTTTATATTTTTCCATTGAAAGAGAACCATGTCAATGAAAAGGAAATACTATTTTACACAATATATCCCAGGGTATATCTATACTGCAATTAAACATCCATGACCGGCCCAGGTCAGCCGACTCAGGCTTGTGAGGCTTGGCCTAAGGGGCTGTTTAATTGCAGTATAGATGTTTGGGCTTGGGCTCCAGCCTGAGTGTCTACACCGCAATTAAATAGCCCCTTAGCCTGGGTCAGCTGACACATGCCAGCTGTGGATTTTTAACTGTAGTGTAGACATACCCATAGAGGCCAACATCTAAATAAGGACTGAAAAACTATTGCATTTATATAGATGAGTAAAACAAATATATTAAATAGGTGTTTTCTTTTTAAAAATAATGGATGTAAACTCTCAGGGGCCAGGGCATTAGCAACCACTAAATCAAACTGGGAAGGGGGGTATTCCTAATAGGAAGATTATTTCTTAACTATCTATGGAGGGTAGTCATTTTTTTGAAATATTTAGTACTAGCCACAGTCAACAGAATATTAGACTAGATAGCCAATCCATTGGTCTGATCCAGCATGGAAGTTTCTGTTTTCCAACAGGGAAGATGTGCATGTGCTAAGGCCTTTAGCTCTGCCCTTGCTCAACTGTTCAGAGGCAGGTTGTGGGAGGGCGGGAGACAATCTCCTTTACAGATCCATCCCACTCAGTTTTCTGTCTCTGCTCAAGGACTCTCATCACCTTCGTAGGGAGCAAATGCATGCACTGGGGAGTTGCTCCAAACAAAGGCTGATAGTAAAGCAGGCAAACAACAGACCTTGCAGGGAAGAAGCAAATTCTGAATGACCAGGGAGGCAGTGAGTAGGGAAGGGCTCCATGTCTGGGGGTGCAGCATGAACATTTCTGCAGCTCTAGGACAGGTACAGGCTTGCACTCCAGTGCAGTCTCAGAGCATGGGTGTTCTGCCCTCCGCAAAGGACTGCAGCTCTTGCCAAGTGTTTGCAAGGGGGCCTTAGGATGGCCTGTGCTGCACACCAGCTCCAGCCTGTGCGCTGGCTCTCTAGAGCAGGGGTTCCCAACCTTTTTCTTTCTGAGGCCACACCAACATGCTACAAAAACTTCACGGCCCACCTGCACCACGGGGTTTTCTGCATGTAAAGGCCAGCCCCACTGTGATGGGGTAGCAATCAAGGCAATTGCCTGGGGCCCCATGCTACATTGCTCAAGCTTTGGCTTCAGCACCAGGCTGCAGGACTCAGGGCCCTGGGCTTCAGCCCCACGCGGCGTGGTTTCAGCTTTCTGCCCTGGGCCCCAGACTGTAATGCTAGCCCTGCTTGGTGGATCTCCCCTGCTCACGGCCCCCAGGGGCCCTGGACGAGAACGATGGTGGTGCGGGGGAGAGATGTGCGGGGAAGGCCAGCTATCGGGCTGGGTGAGGGGGTGAGCCCCAGGGGCAGTATCAGAGCGGGGAGGCCGTCCAGAGTCTGCCCGAGAATTCGCTGCTGCTGCAGCCGCCTCTTCCCCCATTTCGGGTGTCCAGGGTCCGGGCTCCCCGCCGTGCCCCGGGGCAGCACCTGGGCAGGCTGTCCTGGAAGTGCATGGTGGGGATCGTGCTCCTGTGCACGAAGTGATGGTCCGTGTCCAGCTCCGAGATGATGCTCTCGGTCAGCCCCACGGTCCGCCAGTACCCGCGGCGCCCAACGGGCCCCGGCCGCCTCAGCAGGACGGCGCCGCACGCGGGCCGGGCACGGAGCATGTTTCGCTGCGGACCCGGGGCCTGGCTCAGCACCCAGCGGTGGGAACCGAGCAGCCGCTAATACCAACACCTCCGCGAGGGAGGGCGGCGGTTGAAGGAATAAGCGGTGCGGCTGCGCAGAGTAGGCAACCTGTGCGCCTGCGCGGCGGCGCCCAGTAACCTGAACGGCCAGAACAAAGAGAGGGAAAGAGCGCGACGAGGGGCAGAGAATGCTCTAGAACGGACTGCGATTCCCCGCCCGGGGCGCGGGGGGAGCCTGCGCGGGACAGGGGCGGTTTCAAATTCTCCGGCCGAGGGGAGCGAAGCGGCTTTTCGCTGCCCCGAGGATCCTGCCACGCAGCAGCGTGTTGGGAGCACGCAGGTAAAATAGGGGACACGGGAGAGCCGGGGCGAGGTGCCTGGGCTCAGCCCGCTGAGTTGCCGGTGCTCGGCCGCCTCCCGCAGGAGGGGTCGGAGACTAGAGGATTTAAGGCGCAAGCGGGTAAAGTTCGGCTGCCTGGCAGCCCGGGTCTGACGCTGCTGCGTCGCCTTGGCTCAGTCTTTGCCGAAGCCCCCGTGGCAGCCTCGCCGCGCCGCTTGCCCCTGAGGCTTCGGGCAGAGGCTTTTGGTCGCCTGCTCTGCGCGGCTCTGGCCTGTCGAGTGCGCTGGGTGTCCGGGGCCCTAGAGGGGCTGGGTGAGGGGTGAAGTTGGGTGGGGAAGGGCCGTAGCCTAAGAGGCCACCTCCTGCTTTTACCATGCCCAGGCTGCTGGCTCAGGGCCTCGTCCTCCTCCTGGGCTGACAGAGCCCCTGCCCCCTATAATCTGGGCCAGCCGTGTGAAGAGCTTCTGTCTCTGGCAGTGCTGTTGCTCTGGCCAGGGCCAGCTCCAGTCACCAGCTTGCCAAGCTGGTGCTTGGGGCGGCCACTCCGGAGAGGGGCGGCACGTCCAACTATTCGGCGGCAATTCGGTGGATGGTCCCTCACTCCCGCTCGGAGCGAAGGACCTCCTGCCGAATTGCCGCCGCAGATCGCGATCGTGGCTTTTTTTTTTTTTTTTTTTGTGCTGCTTGGGGTGGCAAAAGCCCTGGAGCCGGCCCTGGCGCTGGCGTGGCTTTTTTGGGGGGGATTTTATTTTTTTGAAGTAGGGCTGTTTTGCCCAGTGTACTAAGACAATCTGGGGTTTTTGTTTGTTTAACAAAGGTGGGAGGCGCACCAGACCCGACTCCCCTCTGATGGGCTTTGCAGTGGTGTGATTCCATTGACGTGCATGGAGTTACTCATGGTTTACACAGCTTTAACTCATGATGCTATTTCAGTTCTCCAGCTCTAGTGTTCAAAATATTGACACGCAGTTGGGGACATTTATTTCAATACTTGTCTGAAGAGAGGAAAGGCTGCCGCTTGGTTTATGACCCATCCTATAGCTGAAGAACATTCCTGATGGCAGGCTCCCTAAAACCAAGCCCGATGTAAGCTTTTATTTTGTTTCATTCAGAAAAAGAGAACTATGTTTAATAATAATTGAATAAATGTGTAATTTGAAATGCTTTCTCACTCCTTCTCTCGTTAAATGTTTTGGAGAATCTTTACGTGTCTGCATTCCTTGCGCACCTAAAACTCCAATTGACATCAGTGGAAACTCTGTGTGCATAAAGAATGCAGGATCAGATAACCAGGAGAACTGTCAGCTCTTCTGAATTCCTGTCAAATCACACACTAACCAAGTGCACCAAGCTCTATCTTCTCTGCAGTAAAGGACACTTAAAGTCCTATCTGAAAAGCCACAGGTAACACCAGTACCTCCAGGAAAATGAAGTCTTCATCCATGACTAAGCTGTACTTTCCTTTTCTCCATCAAAACCAATATTTTCCCCTCATGAGCAATCAAGAAAATCTGTCCCTGTTCATCTTTTTGTCTGACAGATTTCCAGTGAATACATCATCAAATTGTCTCAAATTATTTCTGCTGATCTATTGTTTAAATGTCACTGATATCAGATATGTCATTGTTTTCTGATTTCTGCCAAAGACTGGCCCAGTGTTCTACAATTTTGCTTTCATCTGGCAGCTGTAACAACAAGTGTCTGCTGGTTGCAATGTTCATTGTGACCTACTCAATTCCTGTAGCTGCAATAACTATTTGCAAAACTAAACATAAAATTTTTCTTCATGTTGTTAAACTGGCATTAAAATAGAACGACGTTTAGTGCAAAGGGGCTCTGAATGCTGTGGTATAACAAATATGAAAGATTTAAATCACATATAGAGGTAACATTTCATTACTTTTTAGTATGAAGATATTGTCCCCAGCAGGGTTAGAAACACCACCTCTGATTACAATTATTTTCCAATACATTCATAGTACATGGACATAAGTACTTTTTGAACTTTCTGATTGCTAGTATGAAAATGTGGTTGGAGGTTTCCTTTAAAAAGGATGCAATAAATATTAGTTTTGATTGTGCATGTTTTTCCTTAAAACATTGTAAAAATAATACAAATCTTCTGTCTTATAATTGCATTTATCAATATACTTTCAGAAGATTCATTTAATAATGTGTAATATATTGCATCCCTTCCATGAGAACTCAGAGAACAATGGTATTGTACAGAAAACAGGATTATTCTGTACACAGTGAGAACAATCCTGCACTTTGAGGGGTATGTACTAGAGCTAGTAAGATTTTGCATCTCTAATTTATGATATTAATGTAGTGTACCTCACTTGCTATGATAGCTGCTAATTTACCATAGCAGAGCATGTAGTTGTGTAAAATGGACTTATCCTGTGCATAGTGCATCTGTATTCAAGATTCCTGGTTTGAAATTAGTGTCCTCCTGGTGACTTTACATGGCATATGACATTTCTAATATTTAACTGGATCTGTTAATGATAAATACATCTTTAATCATAATACAGAATCTTTACAAAGGACTTCTGGAATTTTTGTGACAGCTCAATCCGGTAAAAGCAATGAGTCTGTTTAGTTCACTGCACATGAGCAGTATGTATACATCTAATTTTTTGCTTGAACCTTTTCTGTGTGGCCTCTTCTACGTCCTGCTAAAATATTTGAGCCCAAGAGGCACTACTATATTATGTGGCTCCCATCACACTGCAGGGTAGTGCAATATCTCTATGGCCTGAAATGAAAAATAAAAACACAAGAGATGAAGCAGTTAAAAAGTATTTGATAACTGATAGACAAAGTTCAGATCTAGTATATGACCCACAAGGATTAAATTCAGCATCTGTGTTTTGCAAAGTTCAGACTTCTACTATGTATATATTTGTGTGTGGGTTTTTTTGTTTTGTTTTGCTTTAAATGGAAGCCTTGAGCAATGTTCTGCCCAGTCTTGCAAGTCCATGTTAATAGGAAATGGTCAGTTACATTACAAAAAGAGGAGCTACTTTTTCACCCTATAAGGCGGAGGAAGGTATGTGTAAGATGAGTAGGGGTCAGGCTTTAGCAGAATTTAGTGACAGGCAGTCTGTGAGATTTCTGACTTGGGGAATAGCTGACTTACTGTGCAAGAAAAGTACCTGTTTAGCCTAGTGGAATCCTGGTGATAGCCTTCTCCATAGTTAAAGTTCTTGCCACTCTTGAATAGGTGGGAGTGGAAGGAAATGTTATAGATTGCCAGGTGAAGATCTAAAAATCCAAACCTCTGTGTAGGGATATGGAGAGGGTGTACCATTATTCCAGCCCACAGGGCAGAATCTGTTAGACCTAGGCACATGGTGGGGAGGGGGAAGGAAAGATTCTATTACACTCAACCCCAGCCAAGTTCCTTACACAAAGCTTAATTACCCAGGCTTTGTCCGGAAAGGAGTGAATTTTCCCCTTAAATGGTCTAGAGCAGGATGACCAGAGGGAACTCTCATTGTCCACTCCCCTCCCCCAGACAGAGAAGAGATTACAAGCAAAATATATTACATTTTGTCTGTATTATCTTTTCTCTGGAGGTCATTATGCATTGGGCTGCCTCCTTCCTAAGCAAAAGTTAATCCTGGTGGGAGAAACTGGGAAGTAGGACGAAAGAGAGGAAATTTTTGAGAAAACTAACATTTGGTGTCTCTTGCTGTAAAAGTCTAATATTTATAGTTTATAAAGGCTATTAAAATAGGAGGAAAGATTTTTAGAGTTTATTTCATTGCTATAATAGGTATTAAATATTTTTGGGTGTTGTCATATGTGTGTTTCATATATGTTAGGGCTTGATCTTGTGCCTCTGGAAGTCATTGATAATGCTCCCATTGACTTAAGGGGAGAGGGTCAGACACTGAAGCTTATATAAATGGTCCAGCCAGTCAGTATGGATATTCACAATTGACTGGTATGAAGCTTGCGTACTGATATTTATGTTTAGCATCTCATACAGTTTTCTGTTATTTTACTAATTTTGCATTAGTGTTTTTTAAATAATCCAGATTCTGCAGTGGGAACTTTGTTGTTGATGATTCCATTGGTCATTTTATGAATGATCATGTTTGAGTGATTCCACATAATTTAATGTTTGTTCTTTGGATTTACATTAGCGTAACTGAGAGGAGAATTTGCTCCTACAATCAGTTTTATATTTACCATATTATTCTCTCTCTCTCTTAGCCCACAATATGTGCAGTGCTATTTGGTAGAAACCATTTAATTTTAGTAGAAAGATTCAACCTTTCATACTTCATTTTTCTTTTTGCAGCCTTTCCTTAGCGGGGGCTGCCCTCATTTGCTCTTCTCCCATTTGGGTAGGATCTTCATAGTTCAGAAGGCTGTCTTCATACAGATTGGCTGGCAGTGAGCTCATATATTTATGTAATTTTTTGCCCGGCAGCAGCAGAAGAGCACCATATAATCAGCTCCCTTCGGTGCAGTCGAATGCTGCTGTTGCTGAAGAGCCTTTGTCTTTCTTTGCTGGTCTGGCCACATTATGTTGGTTCTGCAGAAATGTCAAGTCTCTCCATTGTATGAATTATGCTCTTGGGTAGGGTTGACGTCAGGAGGCAGTGGCTGAGCCTGGGGCTGCCTGCTGCTGAGGATATGTGCTGAATTCACCTACAACAGCAGCGGATTAACAGCAAGGGCTTGTCCTGCTGCTGTCACATGCAGTTACATTCATTGACTTGCAGAGGCTGAAGGACTGAACAGGAGGATAGAGAACATTGAAAACACACCAAAGCCACTGAATATGTGACCGGAATCGTTGAGGTTACATCTGTGAAGCTACATATGGAAATGGACAAATAAAAAGCCAAACAAGCTGGTGATTTATAAAACAAACAACATTTACAGCACTCCTTTCCATTTTACTCTCCTCCTGCTATTGGATTTGAGATCATGTATGTAACTCAATGTTGACTCCTGGGGTGTTAGTCTGGTGAAAGAAGAGGCTAGAGAAGGATTAATATTCTTGTTTTGATATGAAAGGATATTCTTAGCCCCCCATTCTCCCCTCTCCTCCCCCAATCTTTGCTAATAGCACTTTTTGTTGTTACTGTTTTTAGGTCTGTTCATGTTGTAGCCTTTGGAAATGAGAGAGATGGATTTTCTGAAGACAATCAGCAATCAAGTCTGATCTGGACCTATCTTGGGAGAAGTGCTCTCATTTCAGAGACTGAAAGCAGTTTGCTGCTGAACTCTGCCAATCACATTGGAAACCCTATGTTTACTGAATATCAAGCCTGTGTGTTTGGAAATGTCAGACTGGTGGTGCATGACTGTCCCCTTTGGGTAAGCGATTAGTCTGAAACTATGTTCTGCATTCAACATTGTAGCCACTCCTAATTCAGTCCAAATACAGTTTTTTTTCAAATGATTTTGATGGTCTTAGCTCTTTAGTGGTATTTTAACCAATCAAAATATTAATTAAAAAAGATTGGAAGTTTACTTCTAATGTTAAAATACAACCACCAAAACAAATACTGACAGTCTCTTGAGGGTCTTTTACTCCTGTTCCTCCATTAGCAGGGCCCCTATCTGTTGCATCTATATGGAGGTAGTATTTTTCAACTTCGTTGTTCAGTGAAAACTGCATGAAAATAATCCAATAGAAAACAAAAATACTGAATGAGCAAGTGTAGAAAATAAGCTCCTAAATCAGAAAGCATAAAAAAATTGATACTGTTTTTAAATTCAGCTTTTGTTAGCTGTTAGTTTTTTCATTATGCAAAAATGGACTGATTTCTCTGTTTTTGTGAGATTGTGAAACAGCACTTCTCTATTTTTGTGATTATTTCAGAGCACTGTTCTTTTTTTAAAATGGTTATTTAAATGTTTGTTCCATCTGGCAACTTCATTAGTTTCAATTTAATAATATTATATGGGGCCTGATACTGCATTCCTTGCACACCCAAAATTTCTGTTGAAGTCTGCAGGAGTTTTGAGTGTAAGAAATGCATGATGAAGCATTGGTAGTTTAAGGCTTAAAACATGGGCTAGTTAGCATTCTGTTCTCTAGTGGTGGTCTGCTTTTTTTTTTTTTTTTTGATCAATCATTTTGCTTAATCAAAAATTCAAATGAAACTGAGGATCCAAATCTGAAAGTCTCTCACCCATTGCATAGTACTTATATGTGTAGTCCTGTTGACCTCAGTGGGACCAGACCTGTGAATAAGTGCTACTCAACATGAATAAACGTTGCAGAATTGAACCCTTAATTAAGAGGCTGTAGGAAATCAGTAGGATAAATTGGAAGGTGGGTTGGTGAACAGTTGGAGAATGAACAGGAGTACTTGTGGCACCTTAGAGACTAAGGTGCCACAAGTACTCCTGTTCTTTTTGCGGATACAGACTAACACGGCTGCTACTCTGAAACCTGTCAGTTGGAGAATGGTATAAGAAGAATGTCCTATTGCCTGGCTTGCAGAGAGATGTCTCACATTCAGGAATTTGTTTTAGTTTTATAAACGTATGAACTTTTTGGATGTCTTAATAGAACCAAAACTTCAATTCTGAAGACCTTAGGATCACAGTGACTGAACAGCAGTGGCAGCTTATACTGTTGTCACCCACTTCATGCTTCTGGGAATGCTACCATTATAACTTCTGCTCTAACCTTTCCCAGCTCGGGCAGGTGAGAGTTTTCTCAGGGCATGTCTTCACTAGCAACACTAAAGCGCTGCCGTGTAGTTGCGGCACCAGTGGTGGGAGACCTCTCTCCCAGTGCTATAAAAAATCCACCTCCACAAGGGGAGTAGCTACCAGTGCGAGGAACACGGCTCCCCACGCTGGTGCACTGTGTACACTGCCACTTTACAGCACTGAAACTTGCAGCGCTCGGGGATGTTTTTTCACACCCCTAAGCGAGAATGTTGCAGCGCTGTAAAGTGCCAGTGTAGACAAGCCCTTTGTGAAGTGTGGAGAACAGTAGGATGAGCAGTTTTTGCTTACACTTAAGGCTGTCTCTGGTTATTTGGGTTATTTTCAAGGATGGATCCCTTGGGGACTTCTATCTTGTGCAGGCTGAAGGTTGTAGGTATATTTGGTGACTGTGCCACTTCAATGCCACATGCCTATGGTGGTTGAGAGTTTGTAATTGCTCCTGCTGGTGAATGGGGATTTGGCAGATTTAGTGAGTGAATAGTTCTAAAAAATCTGCTCACATTCCTTTATGACTAAGACTAGACATAAAAGGGCCATTGTCAGGCATAAGCCAGATGGTTGACATTTGTGATTTGTTCAACTGGTCTTGTCTGCCACAAGTTTTATCTCAGTGGCCTGGAGAAATTGTAAATGGTTGTGCTAACTATTGGCTGATGTTTAATGTATGGTGGTCACTAATAAGACTGCAGCCATCTGTAGTTTCTTTGTGGAAAAGGCACCTGATCTTGTCTTTATTAGTGAATATCAACTTTAATGTTACAGCTGCCCCTATATTAGCTCTGTTTGCACCATCTGAATATGCAGTCCAGCATAACTTAGAGAAAAGGGGTTGGCTGTGTCTTTTGTGACTCATCTCAGGTGTGAGAAGCCTTGTCTCTAGGATAAATCCATTTGAATATGATGATCCACAACTGTGCAGGTTAAGTTGTTGAACAAAAATAAATATGGGATTCTGGTGCCAAGTTAGAAGAAGTTTTCCTTGCACAAGATTATTGCAGAACTCTGCATGATTGCCAGTCTCTAGTTGGGATGGCCAAGAACTGGAATGTCAAGAGTGTTGCTGCCTAAGGTGGGCGTGAGGTGCATGTAAGGAGCTATCTAGGAGTTTATACAAATATGTGCCAATGCTATATTTAGGTCAAGTCATTGCTACTTGTTTCACTTACATGAACACAACAGTTAATTCACAAACTAATTTAACAATTTTAAAACAAAATATATTTTTGAGGTTATCAATACATTCCAGTTAGAATTAAAGCAGTCACACCTGTATGTTCTAGTGATTTTTCTTTCATTTGTTCCTACCTGTTAACTTTCGTTTTCTCTCTCCTTCTCTGTTTTCTCTTGTTGCCTTTTCTCTCCTTCCTTCCCTTTTATTTCTCTTCTCTCCATTTTCAATTCTCTCATTCCTGCAACCTCCCTTCACAGATTACACTGCTTCTTTCCTTTCCATTCCTTCTGAGCCCTCTGTTCTGTCCTCCTTTTCCTCCGCCCTTTTCTATCTTTCTTCCCTCCCTCCACTTCAGGGATGAGCAACTAGTGGCTTAGGGACCACTCCGGGCCTGCCAGATCATTTTATTTTTCCTGCCCATAGGTGGGGTCACAGCCTGAGAATAATTTTTTTTTTTTTTTTTTTTTAATTGAGCGGAGTCGCTGAGGAGCGTGTCTTTTAGTAAAGCTGCTGCTGCCTCAGGCCACTTTGCTTCCCCATTAACACAGGCTCTGATTCAGCCCCATACCACACAGCTCCAGTTACTGCCTCCCCAGTGGCTGGTTGATTGGGATGTGAGAAACAGGTTCTGGCCAGGTCCCTCTTCCCCCCACAAAGCAGAGTGAGGGTAGGGTTCACCTCCATCAACAGAGTAAGTAACCAGAACTAGGTGGCATGGGATGGAGCCATAGTCTGTGACTGTGGGGATTGGAGTGAAACCCGGGATTGGGAGCAGGAGCCCATGGTCTGCGTTGCAGTGCCTGTCATTGGCCCATCCATCTATCAGTCATTCATGCTAGAGCAGGGCTCTGCCCCGCTTGGCTCTGGTTACTGCTTTTCCAGTGGCTCCCCTCTTGTAACTGACCTGACCATGTGTGTAGCCGGCTTTGATTTGCCATGCTGCTCATGGGCCCTTTTGAACAGTTTTTCGAATGGGCCAGGGTTAACGTGCAGCCAGCTTTCACACCTGGGGCCAAAGAAGGGATCCCATGTGAGGCTGTGGCCAAAGACGATGTCTCAATGCTGACAGCCACCCTCTGATCATATTTGAGCTCTGAGGGCTCTGAACTTTGCTGATGAGATTGCCACAAATTGGCTTGGCAAGCTCTGCGTCTGATAAGAACATCATTGTCTGCCAGCTCCCACAATGTGATTGTGCCCAGCCCCCTTGTCTGCCATCTGGGGACAGTAACCAGAGCTGGGTGGCACGGTGGCAGAACTCCTTACCTGTTGGCATGAAAGAGAATGGCCAGGCCAAATTTGAGTGGCTTTGCAGCCCAGTGCATGAGCTCTTGTTCCCAGTTCCAGGCTCCACCTCATGTAGCAGAGCCTGTGTGCATGGGGAAGCAGTGGAGAAAAAACATTAAGAATGATGTTTTTACCTTTTGTTATTTTCATTTATTAATTCCCTGCTCTTCAGCACATTGAAAAAAGGTTAGTGAAAGATTTGTGTGTAATTTTTTTTGGGTGGGGTGGGGTTTTTTTTTTTTTTTTTATTTTATTTGAAGGATGTGCTATAAAGGGTTTTTATATTTTAAGAACACTTTGGTTTTACACTGTTAATACACAGTTAATTGTATGTTCACAGGCCTATTGTAGCAAACGTTTATAAAATATGTAGGTTCTTTTAATTAAAGAGTATGGCCCGCCAAAGGGTTTTAGTGGATTTTGTGGCCCTCTGCTACCTTAAAGTTGCCCATCCTTGCCTTATTTTCTGCTCCATACTTTCCTTCCTCCTTTGCTTTGTGGCTTATTTCATCCCTGGCTTTGTTTGGTTCCGCTTCCTGTGGTTCTCTGGTTTCCTCTCCTGCCTGATACCAGAGTGTTGGGAGATCTTATTATGCTGCTCTCATATTGCTGGGACCA